AACAGTAAGGAGAAAATGCAAATGTAAAACTCCCAAGTAAAATATGTAAAACACATCACACATGCATGCTCACAGGCAGCGATGCTCGAAAACAACTGCTGTCAAGCTTTAAAAGTCACATCTCATTTAAGGGTTTTAGAGGCTGTGGATGAAGTCTTCTCAATGAATCACTTGCTAAAAGTCTCAATTTTCTTGTCATGGTTTTAAAATGACTCAGGTTTAATTTGCATCGTATGTTTGATTAAGCTCCTTTTATCATGTGTTCTGTTGATTTTACCTGTTCTTTAAACACTCAGTTACACCATTTGTTTATTTTAAATTTTCTTTTTTTAATTTATCATATTTAAAGCGCTTCTCTCTCTCCCCCATGTGGCTCTCTGTTTTATGATGAACCTGATGAAGTCCACAAACTGAAACCGATCAGTCAAATAAAGGTGTCCTACACAGTAAGAATTGCTGGAGCTTCAAGCTCGGCAGAAGTAAACTCAAATATCAAACAGTTTCAAGAAATCTGCAGGTGATAACCGGGTGTTTCCTACCAAACGTTACTATTAAGACAAAGCAAAAGTACTTTCAGTCAACTCTGAGAGCCCTCGTGCTTTTTTCTTAGCAGATATATTTATTGGTAAAAAAGTATTTAAATCTTTGCTTTGCTTGTCAGTGTAAATTTGTGTGTTTTTGGAGAGACAGACTCGATTCGTTTTTAAAAACATGATTAGGCTGAAACAAACATACTAAACGAGTCGTCTTTCGTTGTACTGCTTTGGCCTCTTGCAGACGTTAATCGAGAGTCAAATGATTCAAAATCCAGTTTCTTTTTAACCATTAATCAAATGCGATTTGGGGGTGGCTGTAGCTCAGGTGGCAGAGCAGGTCAACCACTAATCAGAAGGTCAGTGGTTCGATCCCTGCATGCCAAATATCCTTGGGCAGATGGGTGGTCAGAGGGCGCGGTGGCGCCAGTGTCGCCTCTGTCAGTGCGCCCCAGGGCACCTGTGGCTACAATGTAGCTTGCCATTGCCAGTGTGTGAATGTGTGAATGACTGAATGTAGTGTAAAGCGCTTTGGGGTCCTTAG